CTCCTGTATCAAGGCATGAAAAATATGAAAATAACAGATTTTTATCCCATAAACACTTCAACCACCCCTTTTCTACACTTTTTAAAGGTGAATAGAAAAATCTGAAAAATTTGCTCCTATGCATGAACAAATGACTAAGAACCTCAGGCGTTAAGTTACAAGCATATCTTCCATGTTTGACATCTACAGATAATAACAGCAGCTTTTAACTGTTGCAACAGAGCTCTATACTCCTGCATTGAGTTGCCAAGTCGGTCTGTGTGCGAGCCCAGTGAAGAGCTGTAGACGTTTATAGTAGAGGTGGACGTACGTGCAGTATTTAAAAAAAAATGGTATCAAGAATCAAAAATTGTTCTGATTATCGATAGAGCTTAATTTTTTTTGTATTGTGAGCAAACCTAATTTAATTACAATTGGTTAAACTCAGAATTTTTTTTATTATTTATTAAATTTTAGTTTCATTTATTTAATTTCTGTTTGGGATTAATAAAGTATTTTTGAATTCAATTGAATGGACAGATGAGGCAAAGAAAATGGGAAACAGTTATCAGCTGGGAAATGTGGAAACGTTGCGTCTCCATTGAGAAAACGAGAAACAGTTCATGCTTACTCCTTCAGAAATAAATGTGCTGAATCTAGGGAGCATCTGATACAGTCCAGGATCTGTAGCTATACTCTGTAGAGCTTCCTGTGTGGAAAGAAAAGAGAAGGTTGAGAGTTAAAGGTTTCTTTTAGAGAGGAAAATATTATTTGTTTTGGCTTTAAGAGACAAAATAATGACCATTTTATAGACTGCATGCAGAAAAAACAAAAAAACTCACAGCTCTTTTAGCTTCACAGGAGCCAACACATGCTTCAGTGATTTCCTTGTAGTATAGCTGCTGTTCTACAGAGAGCTCATGGGTGCTACGTGGCTTCAACCTAATTAGACCCTTCTCCTTTCCTGTAAAAATGACAAAAAGAGGTTTAAGTCGCAATACAACTTCGATTCTACTAAGTCAAATCCATAAAACAATGGAGGGAACTGCTGTTTTTCCTCAGTGCCGTACTAAGAAAACATGACATAACATTTCAGATGATTAAAAAAAATATTTAGAGTCTAAAACTGGCATAGAAAAATATTATTCAAGCAGTTCCTCTAAAAAAAAAGAAAAAACACTGACCTTTGTTATCAGGAGTTGGCGTGTTCTGACCCTTGCCTTGAACTGGACCTTTCTCCTCCTGACCAGGTTTGACTACTTTAAGGGGTTCAGTCGACTCAGCTTTCTGCTGCTCCTTCGATGCTAAAAAGTAGGAAAGGAGAAATAAAATCTATGCTACATGTTTTAACTTTTGATATACTGAGACAAATAAAAGTCCAACAAGCTAACCTGGTGGTGGGTTTTCTGGAATCGACGGCTGAACTCCTTCAATACTTAACCAGTGAGCTGAAAATAAAGATTGATCATGAAATCATTTAGACAACACCCTCATAATATAATAGAACAGAGCAGCATGTAACCTGATCATCTGAGTACCTTTGAGAGAAACATCTAAAGGAACCCGTGGAAGAGGTGTGTTTATAATGTCACTGAGGTCCACCTCCTTTTCCTCGTAGAAATGAAGCTCTCTTCCACCGCCGCTCGCAAAGCGAAAAGGAATAAACTCCTGCGACTGGAACCCGTACAGGGGCTAAAAGAAAGAGGGGGAGATCAAATCAATGACATGCAACACGAAACTGGCCTGTTTCAGCTCGAAAATATCTCTCACCTCCACATTTTTTAGCTTCAGAGCGTTGTCTATGTCACTGGTGGTTAGTTTACGCCTCTTTCCGTGATGCATGAATTTTAGAGCATCCTATTAAACAAAAAACAGAAATGATTAATCGTAAAATAATGCTTCTCAAACATATGGAACTAGGACATGTTTTTTGTAAATGAATACTTGTGCAATTTCTTTGATTCTGTAGCTGACTTCCTCACTGAGGGCCACACAGCTTTCCTCCTGTAACTGGCCCACTCCCACAGACTCTGCCATGGCTTTCATGGACTCTGTGGGAAGGCTGACAGAGCATTGCTTCTGCCGACGTTCCTCCGCCATGACTGGGAAACAAAGCAGGACATTTATTTATCAATAATGATAATAATTTTTCCTAGGCATAAAATGGTGAGATCACTTTTTCAAATTGCAGAGACGCTGATTTGTAATGACACTATATTTAACAAGTGTAAGACACTATATTTCTCCCTACAGCCCTTTAGGTGGTGTTTAGGTGTGTTTGGCAAAACTCAGAAAGGTAGAGAGTTGCAGATAGCAGCAGATCTGTGCGTTCAAGTAGAAGTAAACACTTTTTCACGCAATGGATACAGTGAAGTCCTGCAATAATGGACTCTGGGCAAGCAAGCTTTCACAAACCAAATGCCTGGAGTGAAATATTTACAAGCTTGGGGTTTAATGAGAAGGAAAATCAAAATATGTATAAAATCAAGAGATTCAATTGCAGATTGAAACTTAAACTTTCCAACTTGAGGAGTTCTGTATAGAGAAGATCATTTTAAATGTTATTTAAAAAGAATGTTTGCAAAACTCAATCTGAGTGTATAAAATCTTTAAACATTACAACTGAAATAAATATAAAAATCTGAAATCTATAAAAAAAAAATACTAATTACATTAACAAATATTGAAATTAGTTTTGGAAAAAAAAAGTACATAAAGCAAAGTTACACTCAAAATCTTTCTTGATTAAAAACGCTATTTTAAGTTTAAGGAGTACAAATTTTCCTCTTGCTGGAAAAACTGGATACATTTGTTACAAAGGGTCAGATGACAGAAGATTTTTTTTTTGTAACACAAAAAGTAGGCAATAAAATAATGAATATACAAAACAGCCAACAATCTTTAAAAAAATATGTCCTATAATAAATCCTAAAGATATTTAGGTGTTTGTAAATTTCAGCTCAGTAATGAGAGAGACAGTCTGAGGAGCAGATACATGTGCTATATTTACTACCAGAGGATTGTAAGAAATGTAATAACAGAAATAATGCTTGGACGGGTGCAGGAGGACATTTTAAGATGCATAACTTACAACTTTTAAATAAAAATAAAAAAAACACTACAAAGCACAACAATTCAAGACTAAATAAGAGGTTTTGGTTACCAATTTAGTTGACCCCAGGTGTCTACTACAAAATAACCAAACAAAATATACAGGCTTTAACTTTTGGAGACGTAATTTTCTGTATTCTGCTCATTTATTGTAAGGAAATGTTGCTGTGCAACATTATCATCCAGCAGCAGGGATTCATAATTATTACGTTTTGATCAAGGGATCAATAGCTATTGATGTTGTTTAAATAATCGATTAAGCTATTAATTATTTGTAATTAATCAATTATTAGAAAAATAAATACTTCAAGTAAATGAACATCTTTAAATGAATGTTTGGAATTTAGAAAATCTTTATTGCATGTTTTGAGTAAACTGGAAAGGGCCAAACGTGAAAAAAACATGCATAAGATAAGCAGGCACACATAAATATATAACCTTATATATAAAATAAAGACTTTCTATCGTAAATGAAAGATGTTTTATACTTTTTGTAAAGTTTTGTCTCAAGTGCAGGTCATTTTTAGCATGTTTTAAATGTGCATCAATACGTTAGGTAATGATTCCTTAACTAAATTTGTTGCCGATTACGGTATTTTAATAATAGATTAATCTGACCTTTTCTGAAAACAATGTATAGTTTAATAAGGTTATGCTATTTATCTTCACTTCCATTTATAAGCTTACTTAACTACAAAGATACATTTGTTAATGCCATACATGAAGTTAGGATTTAATTAACGATATTGAGCATCCCCTGTTTCAGAGACCAGCCACTGACCAAATTGTAATTGATTAGAAAATATCCCTGATTTTTCTTACATAAATTAATGACATTTTGCAGGCTTTTTTAAGCTCTGAAAAGCCTCACTTGCCACATAACATTTCAGTATGTTGTTTTTGAATCCTATGTAATTTTCAACAGCAATTGAATGTAAGGTTTTATCAGTGTCCCAAATCTATGAAAGTTTAACTTATTTTAAGTGGTTTACCAAATACACTTTTCCATGAGTATTTCTGGAATCCACTTGTTGAAAACAGTTTGGCTTCCATCAGAACGCTGAACAACGCATATTATTAAAGAATATTAATATATATAGTCTATAATTTTTTTTACAGTATAACTATACAAACAAAAAAATGCAACACATTCAATCTTGCAGGATGATTTAAAAAAATTAAAAAATAAATGAGTAAAGGACCTTATTGACAGAAGCAGAAAGATACTTTCATAGATATCCGCGCTGTAAAAAGCATGGATGACACTTTCATCTCTAAAAGGGTGAAAAAATGCAACAAATTTCACGAGTCCCAACTCTCAAAGACAGAAACACTAGATTGCAACTTTAATTACCACTTAACTTGATGTTTACCACTTAAAATCTATCCCTACATGTAAACATTAGTGCGCTTCACAGTGAGCGGCGGGTTAGACACTCTGGCGGAACTGGCAGTAACACACAAGTTTTGCTTAAAAAAAGCATGCAGTAAAACGCTTAAAAAAATAAAAATATCTCTAAACACTTTGAATCTCTAAGTTACTTTATAATAAATGAATACTTGCGGTAAGAATATGCCTGTTAGCTTCCATGCTAATAGCGTAGCTACCGTTGACATTATTACCTGTGAAGTTTTCCTCTCCCTTCGAGTTCACCGGGAATTTTTAATCAATCAAACGATATCAAAATTTATAAAAATGACGATGGCGCAAAGCTACGTCTTCTCGTTTAATACCCATCTTTGATTGTTAAAAGCTAACTTGACACAGACTGTAAGCTGGGACATCCGCTCATGAATTAGCGCTATGTTCTGTCGCCATTTTGAGTCACGTTCCAATTGTAGCATCGCGAGATTACAACTGACAGCCACAGCAACCTGGCCAGTACCGTTTAAAATGACAACGAAAAAAAAAGTGGATATAGCTATATTCTAATCATAAAATTTGTATCAATATAACAGTTGTACGTTTTTGAATATTTAGATGATACTATTTATCGTTACTACAAGGAAAACCTTTGGTGAATCTTTATGTAACAACCCATTCCCTCGAAGCGGAACCATTGTTTTGTCTCGAAGTGTATCACGGAGCGTTATTGTATAGGAACAAAGAAGCACCAAAGGAGTGTGGAAGGACACTGCACGAAACAAATATGTATAGAATTTTATCCCGGGCTGTCTGTACGGCTCGGAACCATCATCTTTGTGTTTACGAATGCTATGTGCTCCCAGTTAAATATGACGACGTCTTAAGGTGAGTTTACAGTACAACTCTACACTAGCACCATATAAGACAACGAGAGCAACTTAGAGGAAAGTGTTTGCCTGAAGGTGTTGGTGTCCCAGAAAAGCCTGTTTTTTTATTATCATTAATAAATTTGGTTGTAATTAATTACTTTAGCTGTAAACTAGGTTAACCTGGGCGGGTTGGGTGGACGGGATTGATTGACATGTGGTGCAGGCTGTCGTTTCTATGACAACTTATAAAATGACTGGAATGCTGATCATGTCTGTAGGTTAGGAATTAAGACACTTAACCTTTTTTATTGGCGCAATAGTTTATAGGATGTCAATCAGTTTGACCTCAAATGTGTAATTGGCATTTACACTACAAAAAAACAAAAAAAACAAAAAAAAAAACATACAAAATAAAAGAAAACAAATGATCTGCCAGGTCTGTTTTCTCCCATTCTTGTAAATAAAGCAATTCCCCTTGAATATTAAATGATACCCAGCTGTCCTTCAGTTACTATAACTTTCCTTTTCTCTTATGTTGTTTTCCATTTACCACAGGGCATTCACTGGAGCAAACACTCTGAGCACATGTATAATCAGACAATGTGAAAAGAAAGATGTCTCTGATCAAAATGAAACAACAACTAAAGATGTCAAACCAGAGGTGGAGGCAAAGGCAAATGATGGAGGTGAAACACAACAGCAGGGAGATGGGAAAGTCGAACAGGTTTTGTCCAAACCATCACAAGTCAAGAGTGACGGAGCTAAAAGCGGGAAGGAGGGTCTTTTGGACCTTCTTGGAGCCATGAAGGTTGAAGTTACCAACAAAAGAAAGCTGAAGAACCTGAAGACGAAGCAAAGTTTTGAAACGTCTGCACAATATAAATCCAAGCCAGCTGCTATGGAAAGCACGATCAGCATGTTTCAAAAGGCGACGGTGCAAGCTTCAGCCAAGAGGTACGAAACCTATGAGTTAGATTCTCTGCCTTGAAGAGAATGTCAGATTTCAAGAAGTTTATACAATTTTTGTCACATTACCACCACCATGCTGGTGAAGATTCTCAGTCTTTTTTAATTTTCTTTTTTTTTTGGAATTACTATCAAAAGTTTCCATGTTTCCTGTTGGGTTTTATGTGAGAGCTCAATGCCTGTGCTGATTATTTTTTTAAAGAAAAAAATCTGTTCTCTTCAGCCCCCCCTTCAGGTAATTCTAAAGCAGAACATCTAAATAAAATAATGCTAATTTAACTTTATTGATCTCACAGTGGAGAAATTTACCTCTGTATTTAACCCATCCCCTTGGGGAGCAGTGGGCTGCCATCATGGGGCGCCAGGGGACGGTGTGGGGTTAAGGGTCTTGCTCAGAGACTCAGGGTGGCAGTCTGTGGGAATGGGGCCTCCAGAACCTCAGGATACCACTAGGCCACCACTCCTCTATTGTCCACCAGCATTAAACATCCAGCAACTGAACTTATAGCTCCATCAGCTCTAACCAGCTTTCCCCACTGTGCTAGGAAAAGCATCTCTACATCATCATATTGCCACCTGTTTTACTTTGTGTAGGATGTTTTCTTCTGTCAAAAATACTCTAGCTTTTAGCATATAGGTTGAAAAGGTCAAGGGTGACCACCTATTCCACATTTAATTTCAAAACATTTTATTATACAGACCAGTTCACAAAACACGTCAGGGATAATTCAATCAGACCATCCACCCAGATTGGTTTAAAGTTTACTAAGGAATACTTGCTGATTGCAAGGATTGCAGGATCAATTTCTCCTAGTTGAGCATGTAGAGACAGTCGCTTGCATTACGTCATTAACTCAGGAATTCCTCACACAGAGTATGCATGCCGAGACAGTGGAGAGGAAAAACTTCCTTTTGACAGGTAGAAACATCCAGCAGAACCAGACTCGGTGTGAGCGACCTTCTATTGATGCTGACTGAGGCTTTGAGGAAGAAACAGACATGCAAAAGTAAACTTTCTATGGTAGTAAATGAAATTGTGTACTAGCTCGATAGGTGGCTCTGTCTAGGAAAGAAATGTATATATATATGGTAAATATATATTTTTTATTGTATTTTTCTGTGCCCTTTATGGGCCAGATTTACTTTTGTGTTAAATTGTTTTGGATTGGGCTGAGTTTCAGCCTCATCGTGCATCCTGTTTCATGTACAGTAGTATATAGGGGAAATCAAAGGCAAGAGCCTGTCAAGACCACCTCCCAATATGGAAAACTTACTGAGCTGTACAAGCCAATTTAACTCAGCCTCATGCAATTGCGCATGTGGAAACAAGGGAATTCTTCTTCCTTTCTGATTTTTACCTCCTGGAAGGTCTGACCAATGACATCTCTCTATGGCACTGAAGCTGATGTGTGGTTTCTGGACATACAGGGTGAGCAGTCAGATCTAATCAGAGCATCGGTCCATACAGTGTAAGAACAGGTATGAGCTGTGAACATTAAAACACTGCAGTTTCGTCGTACAGTTTGATCTATAGCTGGGTACCATGACTGAAAACGTGTTAGTGTATGCTTCCTTAATCAGACAAGCTCTGATCCAGTTTACATGTCAAATTGATGAAAAGGAGCATATGCAGTAAGCCACAGAAGAAGCGGAGCTCATAGTTATGTCTTGAGAGAAATGGGACTAAGCAATGAAAAACAGGCCCAACTCTATCATCTACAATCAAAGGTGTTCATATAAGGAATCCAGCTGATGTCTCCTTCTAGAATGGCCAGCAAATATGAAAAATAATAAAAAAGAATATTAAGTTAGAGGTTGAACAAACAAAGAAAAAGTGGTCCCTGTGTCCTCCAGCAGTCTAAGCCTATAGCAGCATAACTATAGAGACTGGAGCTACTCTATAAGCTTTAACTATAAGCTTTATCGAAAAGGAAAGTTTTAAGCCTGGTCTAAAAAATTGGGGGAAATAAATCATGTGATGGAAATCATGTGGTTTGTCTGTTGCGGTGAGCTATAAATCATACATCACAATAATACCTTATTTTCTGTTGGTCTCTCAGATAAGATTCTGGTAAAAATACATTTAAGTGTGTGGTTGTAAAGTGAGACCAGCGCGTTTTGGCTTGGGGCCCTTTCTTGGGGTAATTCACAAGTCACCCATTTACAAATGACTCTAGGGAAGGCCACAAGCCGAAACGCTTTGTCTCAAATAAAGTTTGTTCATGCACTTCAAATGTTGCTGAAGTTTTTTCCTCACCAGTTCATTGAACCTCTTCATGCACATTGGAAGTTGGTGAAGTTGTGTCACGAAGTTTGGATCTCTGGTTGGAAAGTGAGGAAATGTGGAAAGACCAATTACTTTAAACAGGTTTTATGATTAATGCGAAAGTGTCTGTTTATACTTGGTTATTTCCATTCAGAGTCAGAAATCACATTATCATTCAAGTTACTTTGTAAAAACTTAGCTGCAGTGTTTGAACCTTATCTGAAGGTTTTTGTTTCTGTTTTGTTTTTTAGTGACGCATTGGATCCTGATATAGTTGCAGCAGCATCTGCTGCAGCCGCCACCCTCCCTAATCAGAGCCAGGCAGAGTCGGAGCTGCTGAAACAGTTGAGGCAGCGCAAAGCACTCACCGAAGCTCAGAAAAAGGGCGACATCAACAATCTCGGGTATATTTCCTGCGTTCAGGACAAACATTAATGACTTGAATCAGTTCACTCTTAACAAGAAGTTGTTCTTATTCGGATCATCTGTCATTAAATAGCTTTAATTTGATCATAGTTCAAACCTATAAAAAAATCTGTAACAAGTTCACCACTCCAGCATGAATTATTTCTTATTTGTCTATTTATGTAATTTATAAGTAACTCTGTTGTTTATTTATTAGTTTCACTGCTAAAGTTTTTTTGCTCTGCCAGCAAACACCCACAAACTAACTGGGCATTAGATGACTAAACTGACTGGGCATTAGATGACTAAACTGACTGGGCATTAGATGACAAAAAAACTGTTTTTGTTGAGACCACCTCGTTGGAGGGTTTGGGCCACTATAACAACACAGTGTCAGAAAGGTTTTCCAAAGTTCATTTTGATATTCCTGATCATATTAGTTTTAAGTTAGTGCAGCTGATTAATTACCACAGAACCCATAGATGCATTTTGAAATGATAATTTAGAAAAAAGCATTTTCTTTTACTTTAATTAATCGAAAAATAATTGCTAGATCAAGTTAAGTCTTTTAAAAATAACATTGTTTAAAATTGTATCCCTTATGGCCAACTCTTCCATCAAATATCATATTTCATTAAACAATACTTGTAGCAATTCAAAATACCAATATGGTGATCCTTAATTAGACAATGTTGGTACTGATTTCAAATACGACCAAATGAATCTTGAATGTAAAAATATTTATAGGCAAACATCCATTTTATAAAACTCTTAAACCTCCAGCCACTAGTTGGCAGCACACCGCCCAAGAGCCTGTTAATCACCTGCCGCAGGAGAGCAATAGCAGGATATTGTGATCTTTCACAGAGTAGAAAAAGCAAGATGTCCTCTTTGTTAATATATCGGGATAAATCTTATCGTTACACATGTATCATGATTCTTATCTGTTCACCAAATTCTTGCCAATTCACACCCCTGTCTTTTATTAATGAATATTTCTATCTCTGCATTCACTGTGTGTTTTGATAAAAATCGTCCTCAGAGATTTAATAGCCGACATGAAAGTAGGGAAGAAACCCGCTCGGCAGAATGCTTGGCCTGCGGATCAGATCCGGTTTGACGATGACGGACAAGGATACACACACGATAGAGGGATTACCGGTGAGCTGGCCAACATCCGGAAAAGGTGAGGAAAATGTTTTGAATTGTCAGTGAAATAAAGGTAGAGATGAAAGGAATATGTTTCATTTTTTTTTCCTTTTTATTATTTTTAGGAGGAATGTTTTCCCGACAAAAAGACTTAATATCTTCTCCCCCACTACTGATCAGCAGGGAGGCGAATCAGCCCTCGGTAATATACATATTCATGGGTCTAGCTTAGAAGTTATTTCAGTGTTTAGCCAAATAAATCAATGTTCTACTGCAACTATTTGTTAGATCAGAAGTAATTACGTCATAGATTTGAAGTCAGAATTAGAATTCAGTAGTTTTTGGCTTTATTATTGCTTTTAACACTGGTGACATGTGCCCAGCTAAACCAACCCTGTGGGACATGGATTTTGCCAATGAGTTGTCGCTGTCAGCCAATCAAATGCCTCGCAATGGGTTCGAGGAAATGATCCAATGGACCAAAGAGGGAAAACTGTGGCAGTATCCCATCAACAATGAAATTGGTGAGTGTTGGAATAAAATTTCCCGACGTTAAGGTCCTTTTCTACCTTCTTATGTCACATTAGGGTCATAAACTTTATGCAGATACTATGTGACAGAGCAACACCAAGTATCCCTCAACTTTGAGGTTAAACTTAAATAGTTCTACCCTTAGAATGTTTAATTAGAGTTTTTAGTTTCAGAATAGATTATCTCACTAACTAAACTAAACTACAGTATGCATCTAATCAACACTCCACTTCTGTGGGAGGAATCCTTCAAAGGATGCATCCTTTCCTGATTGGCTCTTATGCTCTGGAGGGATGGGAAACTATGGAGCCATTAAAGGGGAGCTTGGCTTACCTTCCAATTTAAGAGATTTAAATTTTATAGATATGTTTATATTAAGGATTTATTTATTAGCTGTGAAATTTAGATAATATATAATATTCATATAGAATGTAGAAATAGATTTAATTAATAGATTTAATGAATCAATATAGATATTATATAATTCAACATCATTTAGCTTTTTTCACTAAAGGTGAGAGAAAAAGACATTTGTGTTTTTGTTATAATAAAAATGTATAGATGTTTTTTGCTGAGTTTTTACATTCTGAGCTCCACAATCTTTCCTGTGCATTGATAATGTGTCCAGATGCAACATAACAGGCAACAATTAAGGGTGTGAATAAAAAAAAAAAGAATGTGTAGAAGGGCATCTTCATACTGCAAAAATTTCATAATGTACATGTAATAGTAGCATGAAAATACTCCACATGTATCTAATTAAGCGCTTGCTGATATATTGAAATTTGACGTCTTTATTACAAATAATTTTAATCAGATTTTCCTTTGGAAAAGATAAAACATCTAATCGCTATTGTTATGTATTTTTTTATCATCTAAATAAATAAAAATGGAATAAGAAAAAGTAATGTTGGCCTAAAGAAACAGGGATCGTATCCGTTGGATTGATGCCAAAGTAATCAATGACCGCATCGGCCTGAGAAATAAAAAAATGGATCTGTAATCACAGACTAAAGTATCCCCGAAGTGATGCATGGTGATTGCAGCGTCATGCTGTTTGATGTTTTCTTGTACAGCTGGGAGATGGACACTGTAAGGATCTGATGCTTTTGCAATGAATGGACGGCAAAGGGTGGAATATTGAGCCATCGGGGGATGATTACAATTTAAACCTTTTCATATTGTCTGGATAAGAGAAGAAAAAAGAAAATCAAGAATATTTTAACTCCATTAAATCATGCAGTATGGCATCATAGCTGGAAACAAAGAAAGCTAGTGTTGATATGCAGGAAAATCTGCAAAAGAAATGATTTGCAGAGTTATGACTCTTTTTTTTTTTTTTTTTTTTTTTTTTTTTTTTTTTTTTATTTGTTTACAAAACTTTTTAATGTTCTGTTGTCTGTGTTAGGCCTTGAGGATGAAGCCAGCGTGCCGTTCCATGAGCATGTCTTCTTAGAGAAACATTTAGAGGAGGGCTTCCCCCGTCAGGGGCCGGTGCGACACTTCATGGAGCTGGTGGTGGCGGGTCTGTCTAGAAACCCCTACCTGACCGTTCAGCAGAAGAAGGAGCACATTTCCTGGTTCAGGGACTACTTTCATCAAAAGAAGGACGTTCTCAGTGAAGCCGATGTGGACCTGAGCTGAACCTAAGAGGATGAAATTGTTTCCTGTTATTTACTGGATGGAAAAACACACAAAAACAGGAGTCAATTTGTTTTGTTTTGCTTCTAACAGGGCTTCACTTTTTGCCTCACTCTTCTATATGTTGACTGGTTCTTAATACAAAAACACGGTTCAGCTTTTCCTCTGCAGAGCAGTTAGAAAGGACCAGTCCAACTTCTTCTGAAATGCATCTCTTCTCTCCTACTTTGTCATTTCGTATCTACCAGAATAAATTATGAAACAACCTTGTGTTTTCTTTGATGGAAGATATCAGTGCCGTTTTCTCTCTGTAGATAAAGAAGAATTAAATGGAGTTTTTTTTTCCTTGGAGCCACAGGTTGCAGACCCCTGACCTGGATGCGACTTTCTAAAGGGCTCAGCCTCTATAAGATCAATATGGTCTTCACTAAAGATGCACAGATGTGAAAAGTTTGGCCAATATCACATAATTTATATTTACTGACACGAGTGGGTTCTTATTGCATCATTTATCATTATCGTGATAAACTCATCTTAAGAATTTGGATTTATAATCTAAACGATTACATTTTTAAAAACAAAAATTGGTCAATTTTCACAAATATGAAAGTTTCATTTTATTTTATTTTTTTCCATTGGGGGAAGGTTGAATGGGAATAATATAATTAAAGATGTTGGATATAGGAGGTTTAGTGATATAAAAACACATTTTTATGAAACTGGTGTCCTGAAGAAGCCTGTTTTAAATTTGAAATTTTTTCAGAGCCGTATTTGTGATTGTGGGGCTGATTAGTGTGGGAGGCAGACGGCCATAAAAACACTGTAGAGAACTAATGAAGAATTTTCATTCACCCTCACTTTTATGGTTATCATGATAGTACTACAAAATACCCTGATAAGATACCATCTAAAAAGCCACACAGTACTTATTGCTTCTCTGCTTCAGATAAACACCCACAATCCTTTGCTACATCACTGTCACATTACCACCTGCTCCCCTTCTCTCGAAATACAAACAGAAACTGGGTGGAAAGAAACACCGGGTGTTAATCTCAGCTCAATCTTACTGATTGGAGTGATACTAATAAACTTTAAACTGCCGATATTAATACCGATATAAGATGCATCTCTGGTGTTTGCTCTCATTGCAGCAACGATCACATCAGCCTGTATATTTAGGTCTAAGGGTGTCTCTCTGCGTTTGATCATTATACTGATGGAATTTCTTGGTGTTTATTTAATTTAACAGACTTTCCACATTTTTCTGCGTCGCTGCAGAACCATCACTTTGGACTACAAGTTCACTGAGGTGGATTCAGACACTTTGCCTTGGAGATGCTACATCGAGATATCTTATTAATCAATCCTTATACATGTAATAGATGTTTACTGTACAGTCCTGACTGAAGTGTGTATCTGAAAGTAAACTCTGAGACAAAGCAGTCTGATAGTGATGATAGAGCTCTGAGTTCAGAGAGGAAAACCTTCCATAAGGCAGAGATTACCTCATTTAAGGGCGACAGTGGCGTCGGATGAAGGAGTTTGCCCTGCAATTGGAGGTTCAAGCCCCTGCTCCTGCTTTTAGTGTCCTTGGGCAAGACACTTCACCTGCATTGCCAGCTGATGGTGGTCAGAGGGCCCGGTGGCACCAGTGTGCAGCAGCCTGGTTTCTGTCAGTGAGCCCCTGGGCAGCTGTGGCTACATGCAGCTTGCCACCATCAGAGTATGGGTTCTGAGGACAGCCTGCACTCTCCCTGTGACTGTTGTATGTGCAGAGCTTTTCCAAACTAGATTTATTGAAAAACTACCTGAGATCTTCCATGGTGGTAGAATGATAGAGCAGGCTGACTGGGATTAGTATTAATAACAAAATGGCCATCAGATTCCTGTCAATAATGTCAGCAAGGACTTTGCAAACAGTAAATCTTTTAAGGACCATAAAGGAAGTGAAATATGTGAATAAATATAGTTAGAGTTTTTGCATTTAGTTAGAGATATTTAATTATTAAACTTTCACTTCAGTTTCCACCTGGGTCCAGAACATGCTTTATATTTTATGTTTATTAGATATACACTCACCGGCCACTTTATTAGGTACACCTGTCCAACTGCTCGTTAACACTTAATTTCTAAGCAGCCAATCACATGGCGGCAACTC